AAACATCTGGAGGGCCAAGCTTGAGGAAGCCTGTCATGGACACATAGTGAGATGTTTCTATACTACACTGCAAAAATATATTAGGATCACTCTGGTCTAACTGTAAGAACATAAGTAGATATGCATCCAGTCCAGCACTTCATTCTCACAGTGGCCAGGCAGATGCCTATGGGAAGACCACAGCAAGGTATGTCACAGCTTCTTCCTAAGAACTCTGGGGTCTGTGGCATGGTGTGGAGGGCAATGGTGTTATGTTTCAATGTGTAGTCCCTACACGCAGAACATCAGTACTTGAGGTTCTCTGGAGGTAGAGGTAATGATTCTTAAACTACTTTTCAGTCTGCAGTGTAAATTAGCGAGGCTTCCAAAACCCAGCAGCATTATGCAGCAAGTGGTATCTGCCCCATTAATTCTTCTCCAGCTCAGGTTGTAAGTTAGCCGGAGTGAATGGACATCCCTGATAACATATCCTCCAACATTTCTCTGATGAAAATAGGGATGCCCTATTCCATCATCATCATCATCATCCCCCACCCTTCTGACCAGGTTGCCTCAGCCACTCTGGGCAGCTTCCAACATATATTAAAACATAATAAAACATTAAACATTACAAAAACTTCCCTATACAGGGCTGCCTTCAGATGTCTTCTAAAGGTTGTATAGTTACTTGGCTCGGGGGCTGCATAACCCCATACCCTCCAACATTTGTCCAATAAAAATAGGGACTCCCTAAAGAAAAGTGGGACATTCTGTAGTGAAATCAGAAACCGGGATGGCTTCTGTAAAACAACAACAACAACAACAACAACAACAACAATTTGTTTGTTTGCTTGTACCCTGCCACTCTGGGCAGCTTCCAGCAAAATATTAAAAGTACAATAAAAAATCAAACATTAAAAACTTTCCCAGACAGGGCTACCTTCTATAAAACCCATCATCCCTGACCACTGGTCCTGCTAGCTAGGGATGATAGGAACTGTAGTCAAAAAAACAGCTGGAGACCCAAGTTTGGGAAACACTGATGTAAGCAGAAAAGGAATGTGGTTCACTGGTGGTGGTGAGTCTTCACAATTCTGTTTTTTGGGGGAAGCATTCCTTGCCTTTGCCCTTCTCTTGAAGATGTCACTGGGAATGCATTCAGAACGGAGCTCGAAAAACAATGGAAAGTAATAGCTGAGTTTGTCAGGCCCAAAGTTTTCCTCCACTATGTGATTGAAGCAGTGGAAGAAGGAAGGGCACAAAGTTATCTTGACTCCTTTCTCAGAGTTCTTCACCTTTGTGTTAGATCTGTTTTCTCCACATTGTTTTATATACCTTTCCTCCTCTCCGCCACGCTTTAATATCCTGCTGGTTGGGTGCTTTCAGCTCCCCAATTGAATGAGACATTCCCTCCAGTGGAAACCTAGCCTTGACAAATAGCCAAGGAGTAATTATTATTCCGTTCAAGAGGCTGAGCTATGGAATAAGGGCTGTAATTTCCTAGGCTTGAGTGCTGAGAAATTTATGCTGTGCTTTTCCCCTGGTTGGAGTTTTCATCTGAGATTGTATTTCAGGCCTTTTCCCTTTGATGATATGATTAAGATAATTCCTTTATGAAGCCAGAGTCTCGGCAAAAGTATCCAGGAAACCTGTTTCATTTTCTTTCCTTCCTGAATGCCAGCTGCAGATGAAAAAGAGAAAGGAAAGAAACTGTTATTGTTTTCTGACCTGTTCAGCCTGACAGAGGCGCACAGTGCATTACAAAACCAGATGATACTGCACTGGCAAATGAGCCAACAGCTAAATTTTATTTTTATTTTTAATGAGAGGCACATGGGTAGGGATGGTTGAGTCTGTCCATTGTGGTTCCCCTTGACTTCCGCAGTATGCCACTGAATACTAGTACATGGGACTGCCCTTGAAGACATCTTGGAAACTTCAATTGGTACTAAATTCAGGAGTCAGATTACTCACTGGAGTTCTGCTTAGATCTCAAACATCCTGCATTTTAAGACAGCTGCACTGGTTTCCAGTTGGTTTCCAGACCCTATTCAATATGCTCATGTTAGTGACTGAAGATCTAAACAACACATGCCTCAAATATCTGAAAGACCACTTCCTTCTCTAAAGATGCTTTTGGGTGTTAAGATCGGCAGAGGAGGCCCTCTTGGTGGTTTCGCTGTAAGCATTTTACTCCTCCGTTGCTGGATGTGTGATTGTTACATCACATGTCAGTGTTTACTTTCTAGGCTTGGAAAGTGTGAGAACGAAAGTCAGTCTTATCTCTCTTCTGCTGTACTGTACTTTTGTACTTCTCTCTCTCTCTCTCGGAGAAGAAGTGAGAGGACGCCATGGTTGCTTTGTCCTGTATATATTGCTTAATAAATCACTTAGAAAGCTACACTCACACTCCACGATCGTTTCTGCTATACTCTGCTGAGTGAGCGTGCACATGTCTTTTGATATGTGTCACTGGTGCGCACTGGGACAGATTTGTGAACGTCCTGGGTGGCGCTTCATCAGGAAAATGCCCGGAGAGGTTTGTCTCATCCCGGGGGCTGCGTGTGCCCCCCCAGGCGTGTTCCGACATTCGCTGCCCTCAAAAGCTTGGGGAGGTGGTGGCAGCCCCTAAATTGTGGGATTCCCAAACCACAGAGGCGTGTTTGGCACCATCATTATACAGCTCTTGGAGAATGATGAAGTCAAATCTCTTTACCCCGGACTCTGGCCTCTCAGATGTATTGTTGCCTGTCACCCAAATCTCCAGTCAGTGTGAGATTCCAGGGCTTCCAGGCATGCTTATCCAGGGTTTGCATTTCCTTTCAGGAATAAGACACAACAAAGACTGTGATGACTATGTGATATAGTGTCAGAAGTCCAGGTTCCCAGCTTTATAACACAGTAAGAGTAGCTAATTAAAAAGGTGGATTTATTGCAAAAACAAACAAATAGCTCTAACAAAGCCTCCGGGACCATTACTTAAGATGACCCTTCTTAAAACTCCTTCTGGCATCAACAGAAGATATTGAACTTATGAACCTTATGTCTCTTGTTTTGATTCCTATCTATCAACCCTCCCATTCGCCGACTCATCGGACTTAGTGGATCAGCTCCCACCTCTTCCTTTTCTGAGAAAAGGTCTCTGAGTTCTTTCATGCCTGTTTGTGCTTCCAGCAAGCTTTGACTGCCTTCTAGCCTGCTCTCAGCTACTGCCTTATCAGCCTGCCCGTCTCTCTGTTGCTGACTGCTTTCTGCAGTTGGCTCCAAACCTTTGCTTGGAGCTGGCTCATTCCTGACATATATGGTCTATTTACACATATATACAAACTGAACCTACAGTGGAGGGGTTCACAGCATTGACACCCCAAAAGGGTCTTGCTTCTCCCATGGCTACAGCTGTGGATGCAAACAGAAATCACCCATTGTGCTCTGACCCTCTCTCCAGCTTGCTGCCTTTAACAGCCTGCATCTATCTATCTATCTATCTATCTATCTATCTATCTAATCTATCACAACATGGCCAACCCTCAAATTCTCCTTCAAACTCCAACTTTGTCTTCTAACTAACTCTGAGTTGGGGGAGGAGCCACAGGCATTTGCTATTTGGCACACAGCCCCCCCTAGATATACCTAATGGCTCATTTCCTTCCTTTTGTTCTCCTAATGGCTCATCTCACAGGCAATTACCTAATCAGGAAACTGGCTGGGCTTAATCCAGAGGTTCAGTGTGCGGCACCCAAAAACTCATAACAGTACCCCACTCCTTGGTCAAATGCCTGGCCCTGGGCATTAGAAAGCATAGCAGAACACTCAAACCCATCAAAACTTCAATTAGGTCATGATGGGCTCTGGTGCTAAGAGGAGACCTAATATACGAATTAAACATTTAATAAATCCTACGCTTGATGAGATTATAGCTTGTGATATACTATCGGCTTGTCAGGTAAATAGTCTGAACGTGGGATATCAATGTTGGCAAGGAAGATGTATCCCCAGAAACAACAGGCAAGGTTTTTCACTCCCCTAATATCAACAACAATACCCTCGTCCCACTTGACTTAGACCCATTTTGCTCATAATGATTACAGCTGAATCAGATTTTGTTTAATCTGAAGTTAAGCAGTGAAATTACTCTTTCTATCCCCAAAGAGGTTGGCATTAAAATGCAAACAAACAAACAACTGGGCTTGTATATGAATTGATTATCTGGATAGATTTTCCACTCCGTTGCAATTTTTGAACACTACGAAGCTGCTGGTAAGGATGGAGAAATCTGTCTATTTTCAGTCTCAAAGATTCATATGTTGAGAATGGCATGGCTTTGTGCCCTGGCTTCCAGCTCTCACACAGTAACAACTCTGATTATTGTCCTTCTGCCTACCAGCTAGGTGAGGAAGGAGGGGAAAGGACCACATATTTGTTCCTATGGCAAAAGGGCAACCATTTGGATATGCCAAATTGTGCCATCACCTTGACAAAGGAGCTGGTTTGGCAACCTTCCCTATAAACATTCCATCCCCACAGATACAGGATCTCAGGGTCTCATCCAGACGGAAAGCCCCCTAACACATAACAATAGCATATCTCTCAACTGCCCAAGGTTGAAAAAGTGACATCCTGTTTTTTCTCACAAGAGGACAGCAACCAAAATGGCCACCGCAATCTTGCACAATTTCAGTGCATTTTGGGAGGGGCAGCGATCTTGTGTGGCACCCCAAAACACGATTTTTTTGTGTCCCAAAAAGCACTTTGGAGAGGGGTGGCAATCTTGTGCAGGTTATGTGACTTGTGCAGGAGTACGGCCCCAGAAGATGGCATCCCAGTTTAGCGGTGCTTCATATTGGAGTGTATGAAATTAGGGTTGCCATATTTTGAAGAGCAAAAAAAGAGGACGCTATGACAACTCTCATTTTAAATACCTCTACTATATGTAGGCTATAGAAGCTGTGCTATACTGCTGAGAGAGGCAGGCGACGAAAGCAAATCTTCAACCACAATTAAAAAAATAATAATCCAATAGCACCTTAGAGAACAACTAAGTTTGTTCTGGGTATAAGCTTTCGTGTGCATGCAGACTTCTTCACACCAAAGCTTATACCCAGAACAAACTTAGTTGGTCTCTAAGGTGCTACTGGACAACTTATTTATTTATATTTATTTATTTCAGCTGCATCAGACCAACATGGCTACCCACCTGAACCTTCAACCACCAGTTATGTCTATGTCTCCAGAAAGCATAGCCAGAGACATTTTGGAAAATTTTAAAAAGTCCACCCGGACAGAAATTTTACCCCTGAAAAAGAGGACATGTCCTGGAAAAAGAGGACACATGACAACCCTAAAAATAGACAGCTACTTACATCTCCCTCTCAGGCTCATACTTTGGATTATCCCATGGGTACGAAACCATGGGTCCAGGAGGTTTTCTGTTTGCCCTGCCACATTCCCCAGAAAATCTGATTTTTGCCATTGAATCAGAGCAAATGTTAATCAAGGGAAAATCCAATTGCCCTTTGGTCCGATTCAGCTGTAAAGAGTGGGTTTTCCTGGTGAAAACATTGGAGGGAAAAACAACAACCCACCCTCCGTTTGTCTTCCCCCCATGCTAAGTTAATATTTCATTTTTAACCCCACATACCTGGTACAAAGCCTTACTGCAATCAGTAAGATTTACTTCTGCATAAACATAATTAGGATTGTGTTGTAAGTAGTTCAAAAAAAGATGGGAGACAGACAGATAGCAGATGAGTGAGATGTGATTAACATTGCCTTTGCTGCGGTTACCTTACCAGCGTTGCATGTGGAAAGATGTATGAATCTTGCATACTCTGTGGATTCCTTATCTATAGACTCTGCCTGTGAAATATGACTGGTTTTCCCGTCTATAACTTTTATTGTTTTTATCTTTGACAAACTCTGAAATAGTACACTGCTGACATTTTTTATATATATAAAAAAATTAGCCTTCTGCGCTTAAAGACCACTCATCATATTCATCTATCATTGTTTTTGAAATGTCACATTGATTTTATCCCTTTTGCAATAAATGGTTACATCCAAAAAAAGAGAGAAAGAAAGAAATAATGGCCTGACACTTCAAAATCAGCTGCCACTCTCTGCTGGAGCAAAAATAAATAAAAGGACAATTTTCTTGAAGGACAGGGGAAGAGGGGAGGGGGGAAATAGAACCGGGTGAAAAATAAAGAAAACCTTTATATCCTTTTCAGCAACCCAGATAAGTTTTCAGAGTTAGCAGAAATCACCGGTATAACTTTTTTGTAATCCTTGCAATACTCATTGTTGTTTGAATAATAGTCAGAAAAGCCATGTTGCGGTTTTATTACAAACAAGCCACATATAAACGCTGTGAAAAATTAATAACTAAAAATAGTTTAGTATGCTGCAGAAACAGATGCTATATTCTGGAGGGCAGATCAAGTTTTCTGGCAGCATTTCCTCAACAAAATTCCCTGGAATGGAGTGATGGATGGAGTATTCTGGGAAAAGCAAATATCAGATAACCTGGGCAGTTATTTTTCCACAAGGGCCAACATTGATGCCGAAATCCAGCATCACCTGAGCTCTGCGAATGCAGCTTTCTCCCAACTGAAGTGCGTAGTGTTTGAGGACCAGGACATTCACAAGGAAACCAAAATGCTTGTTTACAAAGCTATTGCACTACCAACCTTACTGTATGCTTGTGAAACATGGACCACTTATAAACGCCATCTCCAACTCCTCGAAAGATTCCATCAATGGTGTCTCCGAAATTTTTTTACACATCACTTGGGAAGACAGGCGAACTAATATCAGTGTATTGGAAGAAGCAAAGATCACCAGTGTAGAAGCGATGATTCTTCAACATCAACTTTGTTGGACTGGTCATGTTGTGCAGATGCCTGATGATCATCTTCCAAAGCAACTATTCTATTCTGAACTTTAAAATGGAAAGTGAAATGCTGGTGGTCAACAAAAGAGGTTTAAAGACTTTCTGAAGGCAATTCTAAAAAAATAATAATAATATAGTATAAACACCAACAATTGGGAAACACTTGCCTGTGAGCACTCCAGTTGGAGAACAGCCTTTACCAAAGGTGTAATGGGCTTTGAAGGCGCTTGAATTCAGGACTCAAGGGAGAAACGTGCTAAGAGGAAGGCACGCTTGGCAAATCCACACCGTGATCAACTCCCACTGGGAAACCAATGTCCCCACTGTGGAAGGACGTGTGGATCCAGAATTGGCCTCTATAGTAACTTGAGGACACATTGTTAAAACCCTGTTTATGGAAGACAATCTTACTCGGCTACGAGGGATCACCAAAGAAGGATAATAATTCTGGGAAAAGCAAATATCAGGCCCCATGTTAGGAGTGGAGGAGAAATTTGATTCAGTTCACATTGCATGTTCATTTTATCATGTTGTATGTCAATTCTGCTCATTTGGGGGGAAACCACCAAAGACTGACAATTGTATGCCCAGATGGCACATTTTGAAACAATGAGAAAACTGAAACATATTCATCCACTGAAATTTGCACTTTTCTGTATTTTTTCTTGGCAGCTTTCCAGCCAAGTAATGTCTGCAAAAATGTGAGTCCCAGGGCAAAGTCAGCATACAAATGTATATATTAGTGAAAACAATATATGGAAGTGCTTTCTATTAATGAAAACAGTTTTGTGAAAATGTCTATAGGAGGTAAAATAAATCATGCAAAAAATGTTTATATTTGGGGGTTAATGCACTAAAATGCTTTTAAAAAAATTGTTATAATTATAATGCAAACTGATGCAGAAATGTGGAGAACTAAGCTTAAGATTGGGAACATGAGAAACTGACAGAAACTGAAATTGACAGATTTCTCCAGCCCTGCTGGGAAGTAGCCTTTGAGAAGACTTCCTGCTGCCTTCGGTGAAGCATAAACCCCATGAGTTATAAATGGGTACAAATTGAATATTGAAAACAACAGACCCCATTAGCACCCATTCATTACCCGTGCCATTTATTTCTGTTACAAGGGAATGTTGAAGTTAATGGGCCCCATTTGTTTTCAATTCGTCATCCGTTATGAAATGAATGCACACCTCTTAGCTCCCCACCTGCAGTCTGTCCCCTTCCTCTCAACTTCCTGACAACGGCACTTCCTCCATCACTGCCTTAGCAGTTCATCAAGAAAAGGGAGAAAGGAAAAAATGCAGATGTGCGGGACAGTGTTGTGGGGGAATTGCGTCCTTCACATCTCAGGAAAGCTGTGTATGCACTAATCGGTTTGTAGTACAAAAACAAACTTTTTCCTAATCCAGAATCACCTGTGTTCATCCTCAAATAGCTGCTTTCAATCTAGATTGACTCTAGATTCTTCCACCTACAAGCGTAGGTGTGCTTACTTGACACACTTTTGAAACCCTCCCCTTGATTAGGACTCGGACCAATGGCTTCAAGTTACAAGAATGGGGATTCAGACTAAACATTTGGAGAAAACTTTCTGACAGTGACAGCTGTTCGGCAGTGGAACAGTCTCCCATGAGAGGTGGTGGACTCTCCTTCCTTGGAGGTTTTTAAACAGAGGTTGGATGGCCATCTGTCATGGGCACTTTAGCTGAGATTCCTACATTGCAGGGGGTTGAGTTAGATGATCCTTGGGTCCCTTCTAACTCTAAGATTCTGCTTCTATGATTAGGTCATCCACATCTTTTCCCCTGCTTATGTACCAGGTGAGTGCAGAAGGGGGTGACTGTGATCTTGACATATGCCCATCCACAACATCATTGGGCAGGTGTGGGGATACATACATATACACACACAGAGACACACACGGAGCCCCCTATGCCTGTTTTCAAATGGATACACTGTGGGGTAATGCAGAATCAACCCACAATGATTGTAGATCGAAACCAGATTATGAAATCAAAATGAAACCAGTTTCTCAAGAAGTGCTTTTCAGGGGCAAGGAATATGAACTAGATCTAGATATTGGCCACGTTCACACCACACCATTAAAACTCTATGATGTCACTTTAAACGCCCCGAATAATTATGGGATGTGTTGTTTGTTAACACTGCTGATAATCGTTAGGAGGCCCCTATTCCTCCTCAATGAGCTTCAGTTTCCAGAGTGCTTTCCCTGTCAAACGTTTTTTTCTCAAGGAGCTTTGACATTGACAACATGAGCTGGGGCTGACGTGAGTTGTATTCCAAAAATCTGGAGGTGCACCATGTTGGCTACATCTGCATTAGTGTGCACTTAATAAGCCTAATGTTGCTGGGACCACCTACATCTCCTTTGCATAATCAATCTGCAACAAGATTTTGTTTTCGGAATACAACCAGTTTCTCCGGCAATATTTTTCAGAGGCAAAAATATATGCAATAGATTGTGTGTGGACCACAAAGGGAGGAAAAACCCAAATGCTCAGTTTCCATTGATTCTAGAATAAAATGCCACATGGAAGCAGATGCAGAATCCATTCCCTTTAGCCAATTCCCTCATATTTTAGGCAGGCTCCTCTGCTTCCCCCTCAACTCACCTTTCTCTGGGAGCCATCGAAGCCTTTCGCCACTTCTCTCTGCCTTACCAAACCTTGGGTCTTTTCTGAATCTGTAGCATAAGCACCTCCTTTCCAAGTGTCACTCAACAACATGTTGCACATGATTGAGAGGGCAAGCTGCAGTCACTGTACACCTCCCAATGATGTGGGGAAAATGTTAACTTGATAGATAATAGTTTTATTTTGGGCTGTCTTAATCACCCCACACCTGGTTGGCGCTTGATATGAACAGATAAGTAGCAACAAGAGACAGATAGAACATGATGGATCCCATTCTTTTTCATTTGCTTTGTTTATAATATTTAGGGTATGCGTTCTCTTCCTATGTACTGCTTCCCAGTCAATCTGCTGTCAAAGTCATTGGCTGCATGGAACAAATAGGAAATTCAGTTAATTTAGTGGTACTTGCATTAAAAAAAAATGTTGAAAAAAAAGAACAAAGCAATTTCCCAAGGAATATCCAGAGTTTGACCTCAAGGATGTGTCCTCTTCGTAGGGGGAAAAGGTAAATTACATTTGCAAGGGAACCAATATCCTTGCAAATGATGCATAATTGCCCTGTGATTATATGGCCATTGCTG